TGGGTCTCCTTGTGAGGGTGACTCTGGGGTCACCATCATTCTCAAAGTGATTTCGGCTGAGCAAATTTTGGGATGCAGAAGGAGAAAGCTCAGCTGTCAATTGCATGCTTCCTGAGATACCATCTCCTTGTGGCAGAATCTGAGAACCAACGTCTGGCTTCATGCTTCACATGTGAGATCGGTCGCCATTGGCATGCCTAGGCATTGCTGGAAAGCATGTTTTTCCCTCATGACCTGCCTCTCCTGCTCCTTCCCACCCCCCCCGGTATGGGCTGGACAGCAGGGTGCAGGGGAACACATGTTTCACGCTGATTCTTGCCTAGTCACCTTCTGCCCCTGTCACCTTCTCCCTGTCACCTCCTCCCTGTCACCTTCTCCCTGTCACCTTCTCCCTGTCACCTTCTACCTGTCACCTTCCCCCTGTCCCCTTCTCCCTGTCCCCTTCTCCCTGTCACCTTCTCCCTGTCACCTTCTCCCTGTCACCTTTTGCCCCTGTCCCCTTTCTTCCTGTCACCTTCTTCCTGTCACCTTCTTCCTGTCACCTTCTGCCCCTATCACCTTCTCCCTGTCACTGTCTCTCCTTTTCCCCACCTCTCCCCACTCCCCTCTCAGGTTCGGGCTGGACAGCAGGGCGTTGGGCCACACCAAGTTGGCACGATCCTGCACACACTGCAAACTCTTTGCTCAGATTGGGGCACCTGCTGCGTTTCCAGTGCACTCGCGGCATGACTTCCTCGCCCAACCGTCGCATTGAGCATTACACGACCTAAACGAAAGCTTCAGATTCTGCGGGTCCTAAGCTTGGTGTCTGCTGTACGCGTCTTTAGACTCGACGAGAGCTGAGTTTTGAAACGCGCACATGTTTCACACTAGCTATGTTTTGCAAGTGCTTATGTAAGCAAAATAAAAGGTTCATGTAACAAGCCTGTAGAAAGAATGGAAGTTCACTAGAAAACACATAACATCAAAGGTGCTCTAAAAGTCTATATGTCATAACAATCTTGTATTGTGTCGTACTCCTGACACACATACACACACACACACACACACACACACACACACACACAGACACACACACACACATCAGTTGCCCCATCAGTAAGAAATAAGCACATCAGCATTTGATAGTATGATCTCTTTTCGTTTTATTTCGCCTAACTCGTTGCAGCACACACTCACATTGGAGTGACGTTTTTCCCATATGGAGGTGCATCATCACCCTCTACAATTATGAGGCAGCTTAGAGATTATTCACACTCTTGTAAGGGCACAGACCCATATAGTGAGTGTCATAAAGGCGAAACACCCATTTATTCACAGCTCAGACCACGTCTTATAAAGGTGAATCATCCTGTTATCCTGAGGCCTGCTCTCCAATCTTCATAATTTCCGTGTCGAGGCTTGCGACACCGGCGACAACATCCTTCATCTCCTGCACCTGCGCATCCACCTTGACTGCAGCACACAGCACCTCTTTCCCCCCCACTGCCTCGCGAATGGCCTGCAGCTCGTTGGCAACCTGCAGCATGCTTGGGCGGTCTGCAGTGCGCTCTCCAGTGCAGGCGAGGGAGATCTGAGCCACTCGCAGCACAGCTTCAGCAGGGGCGTCCATGGTGGGGTCCATGAGGCTCCCCACGTCATTCTTGGACAGGCACTCCGCCACCTGAGGGGGTTGAGAAGATTGAGGGTGGGAGAAGGTGGAGAGTTTGGAGAGGGTGGAGGGTTTGCAGGGTGTGGAGGGAGTGTTGAAAGGTGGAGCAGGTGGAGGGATTGGGAGGGTACATATATGGTATTCAAGAAGCTGGAAATATTTCCTTTGGAGAATATGCTATTTGAGTCTTTGGAAGTACCGGCAAGTGGTGCTCACCCACAGAGTGATCTGACGTCCCTGTGAGGACCACTAGTGTAAAATGGACGAGGAAAGAAAGGAAGTACCACAACCACACATGTGGTAGTGGCGGAAGGTGGTTTCATGGGTTGAGGTAATTACATACGCGGTGGTCCCATGGGATAAGCACTTACCCACGGAGTTATCTTCCAGCTCTCTCCAGCAGTTTCCGAGATTGGCTCTCGTCCCGTGAGGACCACCAACATGAGCACTCCAAAGCTGAAAAAAAAGCGGACATGTTCAAAGGCACAGAATGTTCAGGGCACAAGATGGCAGAGGAAGAGAAGAGGGGAGAGGCACATGCTTTTCAGATAAGTTTTATTTCCTGACCGCAACATGTACAGGTCCATATATCACACACACATAAGATTTGGGGCGGGTCTTATTGGGTGCTGACTCCTACTACAATGCATTTCTAGTTTCTCCTTTACTGAATACTCTGCACTTCCAGCAAGGACTTTTGTACGCATCACTGCTTCACATGTACACCTCACTGGCCCACCTGCACACATCGCTGGAAGCGGTGCCTTGGAGTAGACTGGATCCCCATAGGGCCTTTGCAATGATCACCTCTACACCTCACTGGCCCACCTGCACACATCGCTGGCAGCGGTGCCTTGGAGTAGACTGGATCCCCATAGGGCCTTTGCAATGATCACCTCTACACCTCACTGGCCCACCTGCACACATCGCTGGCAACGGTGCCTTGGAGTAGACTGGATCCCCATAGGGCCTTTGCAATGATCACCTCTACACCTCACTGGCCCACCTGTACACATCACTGCCTCACCTGTACACATCGCTGGCTGCAGTGGCCTTGGACGTGATGGAGTAGACCGGATCCACATAGCCCGGTGTGCCCATGATGCGCGTTGTGCCCACGGTTGTGCCCTCCCCCATCCTCAGCAGACCAAAGTCGGCAATCTTCGCCTGGTGACGGCATTGTAGCATAAGGAATTAATCACTCAGTGAGAACTCTGGTCGCTTGTGGTGCCATCCACAAAAGAGCATGAAATGTAAATGGTTGAAAGAAACGATATATGAAGTTGAAAGACATTCCAGCCATAGTTGGTGTAGTGTTGTGCCAATGACCTCTTGTTCAAACTTATATATATGTATATATATATGTATATGTATATATATATATATATATCATCTTCACTAGACAGGATCCACTACGACGACCAAGCTTGCCTGCATGCTGTTGGTGATGAGGACGTTGGCAGGCTTGATGTCGCGATGCACGATGCCAAAGCCGTGGAGGTATTCGAAGCCCCGTGCCAAGCCGATGAGAATGTCCAGCCGCTGCTTCAGAGTCAGAGGGCAGGATGCCTCTGTAAGAAACACGTGGCAGGGGATAAGTGGAAAAGGATGAATGGTAAAGGACGAATGGCACAGCATATGATTGGCACAACATATAATGGCACAGCATATGATTGGCACAACATATAATGGCACAGCATATGATTGGCACAACATATAATGGCACAGCATATGACTGGCACAACATATAATGGCACAGCATATGATTGGCACAACATATAATGGCACAGCATATGATTGGCACAGCATATGATTGGCACAGCATGAGTGGCAGAGGATGAATTGCAGAGGATGAATGACAGGGGACGAGTGGCAGCAGACAAGTGGCAGAGGATGTGTAGAGGATGAGTGATAGAGGAAGGGTGGTAGAGGATGGGTGGTAAAGCGTGAGTGGCAGAGCATGAATGACAAAGCACAGGTTGCCTCTGCAAGGATGTGCAGCATAAGTGGCACATCATATAAATGCACGGCATATTTATGACACAACATCTGCGCGGCACAGCACGCCATCTGCGTGGCACAGCAAAAAACACGCTGGAGGAGTATCACGCATACTTGGACCAATCCATCTGTTAAGGTCGCCATTGGGCACATATTCATAGATCAGAACTTGCTCTGGCCGAGTCCTCAAGTCTCCTCCGATCGCAAATCCAAGGAGCTTCACAATGTTGGGATGGTTCTTGTCGGCCATCTGCTGGATCTGATCCACACAGCCAGAGGAAAAGAAACAAATATGATCAGGGATGACAGAACAAATGGAGAAGCAGCCAAGGGAATGTCCTAAATTTACCAGCATTGAAGACACGATCTATAATTAGTTGAACAGCAAAAGACATCATGGCAATGTAACATTTCAATAGAGCATATAAATCTTAGACGTGGGATTGAAAATGATGTCACTGACACATGCCATCTTATCACGGCTCACCATGGTTCACCATGGCTCACTGACAAAACATACCACTGCAATAAAATTTGCAACCTTCACATGTGCAGCTCACTCACTGACCTCTTTCTGAAAGTCCACGTCGATCAGCTTGGCGCGCTTGACAGCCCACATGGTAATGCCATCGCGGGGAGACACACCCTTGTACACATCGCCAAAGGCACCCGAGCCCAGCTGGTTGTCCTCGGACCAGTCGTTGGTGGCCTTGAGGACTTCTGCTAGTGAGAATTCGGTGCAGTGCGAGGATGCCAGGCTGCTCCCCGAGCCTGCTCGTGGGGTCATATGTGAAAGGAGGTGCATGGGTGCAGGGGAAAATGCCTGGGCACGAGTTGAGTGGAGTCGAGTCAGGTCGAGTTCGGCCGGCCTCAGTCGAATCATGTGACGAGTCGAGTCCCATGACTTGGCCCAACATTCTAGGGAATTGATTTGCGGCGTGCCAATCAGTTCACGGGATATTCTACACAGAGCCTCTACGAATCTTTGCAGCTCCAAAACCTGGAAACTGAGATTTAGACCATCTACTGCCTCAACACCTTGTGCCACTTAAGTTCCAGAGTTGTGTGGCCATGCATACAGGCCTGTACGCTGGGGATTGAAGTGAATGCGTGCACCAAGCCACGCTGTTAGTGGGGAGTCGATCTCACTCATTTCATGGCAAGAGATTTGAGAGCTCGGTTTTGGCTGCTGGATTTTGTCGAGTCGAGCATGATTAGTCTTGCAGACTTGCATGCAGATGTCTAAGTTCATGCAATGGAGAACTAGCTCCTCACTTATCGCCATGGTTGAAACAAGACATGGTTTGGTTATTCAAAATGAACTCTTCTGGTTGCTTTGTCTCCCTACCTTGTGGTTTCAGCTTGATTTTGTGTGTGAAGTAAAGCAGAGCTGCACCAAGAAGTAGGAGAATGACCATAGCGGCAACAACAATGCCAATGATGGCGCCCAATGACACTGTACCCGCACCTCCTGCTGAGGAAGAGTTGCAGTGGGGACTGCATGAAGGTTATAACTAGAAGAGTTGTCAAGAGGGCGTTATAACGTGTGAGCAATAAACGTTCAGCCAAGCAGGCAAGTGCGTAAAAAACGATCAGAAGGGTGATGCTCCGCGGTAAGAGAGCCTAGATTGATCGTAATTTTGCATGATCTCAATGCGAGAAAACTCTACACCCCTCTTATTGTCCAAAGTAGGTGAGGTGCTTTTTAATAATTCGGGCAAGCATTGTGTCATGCTTTGTCCCATGCCTTGTGCCCATGCATTCTGCCATGCCTTGTGCCATGCATTGCGCCATGCGTTGTGCCATGGCTTGTGCCATGCATTGTGCAACGCCTTGTCCCTTGACTTGTGCCCATGCATTGTGCCATGCGCTGTGTGTGTGTCATGTCTTGTGCCATGCCTTGTCCCATGCTCTGTGCCATGCCTTGTGCTCATGCCTTGTGCTCATGCCTTGTGCTCATGCCTTGTGTTCATGCCTTGTGCTCATGCCTTGTGCCATGCCTTGTGCCATGCCTTGTGCCATGCCTTGTGCCATGCATTGACATGCCTTGTCCGTGCATTGCCTTGTCTTTTGCCATGCCTTGCCACGCGTTGCTTGCTGTACTCTGAAATGCCTTCCTCCATGCATCGAGTTTCGACTCTTGAGACCGTACTTTGCTGATGTTTATTTACTTGCCTGCAGATTGGTAGCAAGTCTTGCAGAAGGATTGACATGTGCCACAAAAGGCTGCGTTGGGAGATTGTGTTGTGCCACAGGCGGAGTAGTCAGGTGGGCATACGAGGTTGGTGCCAGAGACGTCACTGCAGTGGAAACGGGAAATGGTAAGGCGGAACTCATGGGCACAACTGCACGTACACTTTTTTGTAAGCTGCGAAAAGCTGCAAGACTCTACTAATCCTGCAAGAGTGCTCTTTATGGCCCACCCATGTCAAGTATATATCACACTGCTTACTTTTTTTTTTACAGCTTTGGTACTTGCTGAAGCCTACTCACGGGTTCAGTTCCAGTTAAGTATCTTCTCAAACATACTTAGAAGTTTATTCCAGATTGGTACTTGCTCAAGCATACTCACAAGTTCGGTTCGGTTCTGGCACTTTCTCAAGCCCACTTGCTCAGCCTATTACAAGATCAGTTTGGCTTTGGTACTTGCTCAAGCCTCTTACAAGGTTCATTCGGGTTTCATACTTGCTCAAGCCTACTTACAAGTACTTCAATAAAGTGAAGCCTCCAATCTCAGCTGGAATCTCACCGCTGAGATCATTATCAGAAAGGTTTCTGGTCACAAGGAGTGGATGAAAAGTACAGGAGAAATCTCAGTTAGCCTAGCCTCCTGCACACAGCAACGCAGCGCCGTGCATCCATCTACATGAAGCAACGCAACAACACATGATTGAACCATGTATGGCGGGTTGGTCCAACGGGACTGGGAAACAACTACTGAGAGAAGATGCATGGTGTTGGCAAACCACTGAACTGGTCACAGGTCGTCCCAGAATGCTTAGGAACGGCAACTGGGGTGTGGAGGGGCCACAAAGCGCTAATGGAAGTGAGTTGATAGATCTAGATCTGTTTGTAGTCATTAGCTGATCACGCTCTCAGAATTCTTTGAAACAGACTGTAGAGGGCCAAACAACAACGTACAGATAGTTGAGGCGATCAAGCAATTCAAAGTCACTGAATATGTTGCCACTGAGGGAATTGGATGCGAGATCCCTGTGCATTGTGTGTTGTGGGAATTGGATGAGAAAAAGAAGAGATGAGTATAGCAGGCATGGCGGCCCACGGGGGTTCGATGGGTCGAGATCCCATCAGGTGGAGAGCACTGTTGGGAGCACGGAGGAGAACAAGCAGCCTTCGCTGGAAGCAGGGAGGGTGGGGGGTGGAGGGGAATGTAAGTAGTTGGGGAAACGTAGTTTAGGTTGTGGCATGAGGGAACGCAAGGAACTGGGATGGTCTTTGAAAGAAGAATGGAAAAGGGCACATGGATGGGCGCACAGCACACGAGCTATGCGAGTGGGAAATGAAGAGCAAAATGATGTGGGAGAAGACAGAATTCCACTTCACCAACTCCTGCAAGTCTGCGAGCTTTCAAATGCAGTGCACCGAAACTGTGGGAGCGTTTTGAATTAGAGGCAAACGAACTACTCCATAGTATATGACCGCAATCCATCAGCATTGGTTCCACCAACCAACTTGAAGTAAATTGGAATAGCTAGGTCCGTCAAGGGAGTGGTCATGAGCCTATTGTAAATACATGGCTATCCTAGCTCATGACGAGCCTACTTGGCTCGGACGAGCCAAGCCAACCTGGCAAGAATCAAGTTCTGTGACGGCCAAAGGTCGGCCATTGCTCAACCCGAAAGCCTCAGGCCAGCCCGACCAACAATGCAGGCTGGACAAGACCAGCATGCGGCACTAGTTTTGCTCATCCCTAGCCTAGGAGTGGAGGACAGGAGAAGGAGATGCAGGACATTCAGCCTGGATTGGCTGTCGAGATGCTTCATACAGATAAGTGAGCCAAGAAAGCATGGAGATGCCATTGGGAATCGAACCCGCCAAGATGTTGTTCGACAGAGACCTGTGTGTGTGGGTTGGGGTAGAAGTGAGGAGATGAGATTAGAGGCACACAAGTTCAACCTAATTGGCGGATGAGGAGAGCATGGTGAGAGACAGGCATGAGTAACATTTGAATTGAACTTGAGATTGAGTTAATTCACGTTACTCGAATTGACCAAACTTTTTAAATAACACAGTCCAGAGTGCATCGAATGGCATCAAACATGGGCCTGGGAACAAGGTGCAAAATAAGAAGAGTTTTTTAGTCAAATTGTGAGGGATGAGCAAGGGGCGAACACGAACATGTTCGCGTTCGCCCCAGCTCGAACACTGCCGTTCGGCGAACCGAATTCGCCTGTAGGGCAAACATCTTGCATGCTAAGGCGAACACGAACGTGTTCGCCCCTGGGCATCCTTTGTTATGCTCAAAATACGCAACGGCGGGCAGGGGAATTGCGGGAAACTGGGGGAAAATATCTAGGCTGGATCAGCATTTTGCGAGATTTAGTTACGGATCCATAGTTTTTTTTATCCAGCTCGCCACCTGGATTTCCCCCCACGTAAGGCGAAATGCTCTCCTCGTTCTATATCTACGAAATTTGCAATTGCTCGCCAACCCCCCACAACCCCCCAACTCACGAAATATGCAAACGCTATTCCTGTCAATCCCATGCATACGAAATTTGCGAATGCTTACCCCCAACCCTCAACTTACGAACTTCTGCGATATCCCTGTCTAATCTTTTCCCGAAAACCTAAATCTCGCATACCCAAGTCTATACAGACTAACCTAAGGTAACTACTTAATTACGCTAAGTCCTAATGAGGTGATAACGGCGTGATGTGTGGGGGGCGTGGTAGTAATGGCTGCTGCTGAATAGCGCGACTAAGTTTGAGCTCAAACAGAATGTCCCGCAACGTAAATTGTAGCCCGCCGGGACAGTCGCGTCGAACACATTCGTGTTTGTTTTTGCCCCAAAACAAACACGAACGCGTTCATGTTCGACGCGGCTCGGCAGCAGTAGCGGGGCGAACACAGAACGTGTTCGGGCGAACACCGAACACGTTCGCTCCGAACATTTTTAGCCAAAAAAAATCCTGTTCGGTTCGCCTCGAACGTGTTCGTTTCCATGCTCATCCCTAATTGTGACCGTAAAATTGTTGAGTGCAATATGCGTTTTGCACGTCAACCTACCGCCTATTCGCCGTCGGTGAAGGTAAATGAAGTTTTCTGTTTGAAGGTAATTTGTTATGTGTGAGGTGCGCATTTCTGAGCTTTACGTTTGGGCGTTTAGGGTTCGTGAATCGCCTAGACTATTCATGAGTTATGAGCGTTTTCGTGAAGGGTTGCATTTGTGAGTGTTCATGAGTTTCCATAAGTGAAGGTGAGTGTTCGTGTCATTTTGTAAGTTCCGAGATTTTGTGTGCGATCGTGTTATTTCATGTGTTCTGCGAGTCACGGGTTTTCGTGAAAGTGTTGTGGATGTTCATGAGTTTGTTTGTGAAGCGTTCGTGTGAGTTCATGGGTTGTAGGTGAATTTTAATAGTTGTGTTTTCAGTTGGTTTGATGAGTTCGTTTGTAATTTCATTTTTTTTCGTTTATGATGTTTTAGGGGTTTCTCCCTATCGAGGTGGTCAAGGCTCGAAGCCATGAGCCCGAGCACTGTTGCGCCTTAGGCGCAATCATGGGGAGTGTGCCAGTCAAGGCACACGCGCGGCCTGAGGCCGCAAAAGAATTCCTCGCCACACGCGCGAGTGTGGCAGTGAGGTGGCGCGTGGGAAAGGACGAGGGCACGTGGGTCAACAATTGAATTGTGGGACCCTCGAGCTGTTTGTCCTCATAAGCCGAGAGGAATTTCGTTACGGGGTGTTTCGCGAAGCGCGCGATTTACATTCGAAGCTGGTGCGAATTGTGCGGGAGTGATTTCGGTGACTTAGTAATTTCATCGCGTAACTGCGCCATTTCTTCAGGAGATTCCGTAAGCTGTCACGAGTGGTCGCCACCGAGCGTCCACGAGGCTTCGCGGACAAGTATGGCCTGCATAAACGTTCGTGGGCGAGTATGTCCCACTGGTTCCGCATAGAGAAAGTTGGCAATTCAAAATATGGTTTTAGTTGTCACTTTGGTGGGCTGGTAGCTTTCGCTTAATATAAACTTGTGCTTGCGTTTGTTTGTGAACAATCTTTTGTGACTGAATATTACTCTTACAACGTATTGACGTGAAGAGTTTAATATGCACATGAGCCAATCGATCGATGTGACGCTGCGCGAATAACTGTAGGAATACTCTAGTGCTCTCGATCGAACTTACACTTGGTGGAACTCTCTACAAACATGGACCCTTGGGTAGGGGCTGGCTTGCCTAGCACCCAAAGACCCTCAGAGGTGACCTCGTGGAGTCCATCTTTTGTGATTTAATCGAAGGGCATAGAGCCTTCTAGATCTCACAGTTTGTAACAAAAATATGGCATCATAATAAACAACCGTAAAAAACATAAATAATTTTTTATTTGCGTGAAAAAACGGCATCTTTTTTCCAATACAGAAAAAAACCTGCAAGAAAAGGATAAAGTGGTGAGTTTTTTGCTAAGCATTTTGCCAAAAAAAAAAAAAAAATGCAAATTGGCCCTCTCGGCAGGTCAGAATTCTACTCAGACAAGAGCATCAGGTTGGCCCGTCCCTAGTGGGTACCGGTCGGATCGAGTCAGGTCAGTACCCCAGGGAAGACGTCCCGGTCCGTGCTCTTCGCGTTTACGACATTCTAACTGTGGAAGCGTTCTCAATCAAAGCCAGACAAACTACTTCATGTCCACGGTATTTGACCGCAATCCATCACCATTGATTCAGCGCCACCAACCAGCCTGAAGTTTTACAGGATAGGTAGGTCCGTCTAGGGAGTGATTGGGAGGTTTCGAAGGTTAATGGAAGTGGCCAACGTGAGCCTCTTTTAGAATCATGGCCACCCTAGGCTCGAGATGAGCCTACTGGGCTCGTCACCTGTCGGACAAGCCACAAGCCAACCTGGCAAGAATTCAGGTCTGTGACGGCCAGAGGTTGGCCATTGCTCAACCCGAAAGCCTCAGGCCAGCCCGACCAACAATGCAGGCTGGACAAGACCAGCATCCGGCACTAGTTTCGCCCATCCCTAGCCTAGGAGTGGAGGACAGGAGAAGGAGATGCAGGACATTCAGCCTGGATTGGCTGTCGATTGTGTCTGAAAGGTTCTAAATTTGATGTGACTGTTGGTCATGTTCGTGCTTATCGACAGGCTTAAACAGGGTGCTTCATACAGAGAAGTGAGTTGAGCAAGCATGGAGATGCCATCAGGAATGGGACCCGTCAAATTGTTGTTTGAAAGAGACCTGCGTGTGCGTGGTGTGGGTTGGGGTAGAAGTGAAGAGATGAGATGAGAGGGCATGGACTGTGTGAGGGACAGCAAGAACACAAGTCAACTCAATTGGGAAATGAGGAGAGCACGGCGGGAGACAGGCATGAGTAAAATCGAACCGCACTTGAATCAATTCAAGTTCGGTTCGGGTTGACCAAATTGATTCAGATAACACATTTCGGAGTGCATCGAATGGCGTCTTAGATGGGCCTAGAATCAAGGTGTATTTGTTTGTTCTAGTAAATATTGACCGTAAAATACGGTATCATAAAAAACAACCGTAAAATGAATAAAAAAAGTAATCAAATTTGGGTAAAATAAAAACTTTTA